TTCAGCTACGTTATTCACGTAGCTGAAGTTGCGTACCTTAGTTCGATTTGGGGGTTTAGTGTAGACCAAGCCTTAGATGTAGAATGGAGATACTCAGCTTTACGTTTATTTTTTAATTGGCTACAATGTAGCTTTGTGTATACTCCCATTACTTTCTCCTTTGACAAGACCTTTAACAGCACTCTAATGTCCCCATACAACCCAGAATAGGCAACAACAAAGCTGCTAGCTGTACGGCATACATTGGCATCAGGCAAGGACATCAGTGGAAGAATACGTCACAGTGATTTATAAAAATATACATGATTTTCCTTGATCTGTTCCTGTGATATTTCTGCCAGTCTTCTAGTCCCTGCCCCCCTTGTTATTAAGCAATTGACTAAAATCAGGAGCATTTCATGCTAGTACAGAGCTTCATCTCACATCCACATTGCAGCTACTGGCAGGTCAGGGCTGCACCACAACCACCCTGTCATAGTGGTTGTTGGGAAGAAAAGGTGGCCATCGGGCCATGTGGCCACTAGAGGGTACAGCATGTGTGTGTGCACACACATGTGGGTGGGGCTTAATATAGTTTCTCTTTTCAATTTTCCATTTGGGGATTTTCTTCCCCTGCCATAGGGAAGAGCCGAGGTGGTCCCCAAAGTCACAGCAGAAAGGGTCAGGGGAGTTACAGCTGGGAGATGTGGAAGCCAATCCTGCTTGCAAGGTGCAATACACTGCCACAGGGAGTTTCTGTGCTTAGGGCTACCATATGTCCGGATTTCCCCGGACATGTCCGGATTTCCCCGGACATGTCCGGATTTTCGGTCTATAAATAGCCGTCCGGGGGGGATTTTTAAAAATCTAAAAATGTCCAGGATTTCCCCCCGGTCAGCTATTTATGGACAGAAAAGCGGCGGCCAAGCACCGCTCGGCAGCCAAAGCCCCTTCCCGGCTCCTCCCATCCCCTGCAGCCTTACCACGCTGTCCGGCCCCGCAGCTGTCTTCCCCCTCCTCCCCTCCCCTGAATGCTCCGCCCACCTGCTCCTCCCCCTTCCCTGCTTCCCGCAAATCAGATCTTCGTGGGAAGTCTGAAAAAAAGCAGGGGCAGGTGGGAGGCAGCAGCAGGTAA